AAAAAAGTTTATCACATTAAATTGTCATTAATCCCCATCAAAATATTACCTTCTTTGAACATATATACCATTGTTCTTGGCACTTTCTAAAACATTTCTAAAAATCCTCTTTCATGAGTATGTTTAGTTGCTCTGTCATGGCTGCCTTGCTGTCCCAAATCCATTCAAGTTGTGTATCTGTAGTAGTCATTTTGAGTTTGGTGTGGTAAAAAGGATTAAGATATACCGTATTGTTTTTATAAGCCTGCATATTCCCTGGATGGCACTCAGCAGCAGTATTCACAGTTTTTTTGGTTTGGTATTGGGGATCAAACTCAAGACCTTGTGCTTTCAAGGCAGGTAGCGGAACCACTGAGCTAAACGCCTGGCCCCAGTATTCACATTTTTGATCACAGCATGTAAAGACATTCCAAATTCCGTAAGAAAGCAGCAAGAATGATGGCATGAGTGTGTCTGAAGTGAGGTAAAGTATTGTGTGGAGGATTAAAGTCAATGTGTATTTTAAAATTTAAACATTCACCATATATTTTTATCACACCTTATAAATCCTTTAGAGGAAACAGTTTTAGCAGATCCTTCAAATTTGTGAATTTTACCTACAAAAATCCCTACCAGATTCTCACAATGACAATTTAAGAAAAATTCTGCTTACTTCTGATAGTAGTGGAAAAAAGAAGCCATTATAAAAGTTTTGGTTCTTTTATTAGCTCTATCTTGAAAGCAAGCAAAATTATTTTTCTGAAGCCCAAACAGTAAGATTTCTAGAGCCACAGCATCAGGAAAAAATAAAATAACCCATTTCAACCTCATGTAATCTTCCTGCCTTGATACTGCAAAAAAGGGAGACAGCTGGGTGTGGTGGTGAACGCCTGTCATCCTAGCACTCAGGAGGCTGAGGCAGGAGGATCGCCTCAAGTTTGAGGCCAGTCTGGGCTGTATAGTGAGACCCTGTCTCAAAAACAAACAAACAAACAAACAACAACACCCCACAAAGCTCATCAATGGAAACAAATGAATTGAGATAGAGGTAACCATGGTGAAAACACTAAAGGACATAAAGGAAAGATATGAATTGCATGCTATCAAAAAGAACCACATATTATCAAAACACTCATAGGAATTATGCAAGTGGAAAATATAATAGCTTAAGGAGATCATCACTATAGGAGTGTCCAGTGAAGGACTAAAGGAAGCAGAACAAAGATCCAACTAAGATCAAGATAAACTGAAATTATGCAGCCTGAAAGAGATTCAAAGGGTGAGAATGTGTCAGCAGTTTTGTTTTGTTTTTTGTACCAGGGACTGGACTCAGGACCTCGTGCTAGCGAGGCAGGCAAGGTGCCACTGAGCTAAAACCCGGGCTGTCACCAGTTTATCTGCACTGCATTAATTGAAAGAAGTCCTGCAGAAAGAAATAAAAAGATGTAAGTTATAACTCTGATCACACAAAGAAAAGAGTGGCAGGAAAGAATTAAAGAGAAGCAGAACAAAATCTTCATGTCCTCTATTCATCAATATAAACAAGACAAATATTTGCTTTAAATAGCGAAAATATTAATGATGTAGTAGGTGACTATAGGTAAACATAAGTAGAGTGAATGACAATTACATATGAGGTACGAAAAGAAGAAAATGGGAACATACTAAGGTACCTAGACTGTCTATGAAACAATACACTATTATTTGAAAATGTCTTAAGGTAGAGTGTAAATGATTTTGATAACTCTGGAAAATCATTAGAAACTTAGAAAACAAATATACCTGATATGCTATTAGAGGAAACAAAATAGAATCATATTATGCAATTTAAATAAGAATGCAAAAGGGCTGAAGATTTAGCTCAGTGGCACTGCACCTGCCTCGCAAGTGGAAAGTCCTAAGTTCCATCCCCGGTACAAAAAAAAAAGAATGCAGAAAAACATGAGAAGCTTGGACATAAATCAAGAGCAACTAATACAAATAAGCAATTACAAATATGGTACATATCAATCCAAATATATCAATAATTACTTTAAGTGAGAATTATCGAGAATTATCTGCATCAATTTACAGAATGACAGAGTAGATTAGAATATAACAAAGATTGTGTTTCTTCTAAGAAAAAAACACTTTAAATGTAAATAAACAGGGCTGGAGCAATGGAAGAGGTATGTTTCAAACTCAGTCACACAGAAATGTTTAATAGATGGCGAACTTAGGGAAAAGCATTCTCTTGTACTCTTGAATATCACCAACAAATTAAGTGATTTTGGTAGTCAAATTGCTATGAGGAAATATATATGTTAATTATGTTTTAAAACATCACATTCTATGTGATAAATACTTTTGAATTCAGAATGTTGACATATATTTTATAAACAATATATAGATAAATTTAAGACAAACGTATAGAGATATACTATTCTTGTACCAATTTTAAAAAAAGTTGAACTTATATTGACATTAATCACTGTACCAGAATCTCAGTAAGATGGAATAAAGGGATCGAATAATGAAAAAGCAGTCAGTTTTCTAAGAGGATACAACAATTCTTTTTTTTTGTTGTTTTTTTGGTACCAGGGATCAAACTCAGGTGCTTGCGCTTGCAAGGCAGGCGGTGGAACCACTGAGCTAAATCCCCAGCATTATACCACAATTCTTAATATGATTCCCATAAACAATCAACTGAAAGAAAATCACAAATCCACAATTATATATGGAGACTTAAACATGATTCTAATAGTAATTGAGTGACCAAGAGGCAGAAAATCAGTTGTGATTAAGACCTGAAATCAATGGTATCACCTATGACCTGCAGTCATTTGACATTACAGAACACTTAAAAACTTTAGTGGGCTGGGGATTTAGCTCAGTGGTTCCGCTGCCTGCCTCTCAAGTGCAAAGTCCCGAGTTCAATCCCTGGTACAAAAACCAAAACCAAAACAAAACAAAAAAACCCCACAGAGTACACAATCTTCTCAAGAACATAAGACATATACACCAACACAGACCATATCTGGGGCTACAAAACACACTTTAACAAATCTAAAAGAATAGCTGGGCATGGTGACACACACCAGTAATTCCTGCTGAGGCAGGAGGATCACTGGGAGTTCAAGGCCGGCCTGAACTGCGCAGCCACAGTCTCAAACAAAAAACCAAAACGACAACAAAAACAAATCTGAAAGAATAGAAATCATATGAAGTATACTCTCAGGGAAACTGGAAAGTAATTGAGAATCAATAGATGCAGGGCAAAGTTAGAGATTGAATCAAATTTTAAATAAAGTGTAAATGAGAAGTCTCAATATCTATTTAAATAATGCAATATACTGAAGGCTGAGACCTAGTTTAGTTGTAGAGTGCTTCCTACCATGTGTGAAGCCCTAGGTTCAATCACCAACACTAGGGTGAACAAAGCTTCTAAAATGCTTAACAACGTCCATAGATATTGAGAATTAGCAAACAGAACTGTCTTTGTTCACAGATGACATCATTGTCTACCTAAAAACCCCAAACAACTGAACAAAAACCTACTAGAATTAATAAAGGATTCCACCAAGATTGTACAACACCAACTTAATATGCAAAAACCCACCATTTTGCTGCATATTTACTGTAAAAAACTGGATTTGAAATTAAAAACAGAACATCACTAACAGCACGAAAAGAGACAGACAATTTCACTTAACAGGAAAGACTACATTTAAAAATGCTCATGGACAGAGGAGATCAAAATAATACAAGACATTATCATACAGAAATGCTACTTAATGCTAACTGAAAAATAATTTTGTCAGATAATTTCAACTATTGTCAAGCCACACAAATATACACCCATGAATTTTACTCAGATGATAAATTAACTGTTTTATGTTATTTTAAAATTATAAAACATTATTTTAAAATTATAATATTAACAAAGTTTTAAAATCCATTAACACTAGAGGACAAAAATCACAAAAACATGCGAAACTAGGGCCGGGGATTTAGCTCAGTGGTTTCGTTGCCTGCTGCGCAAGCGCAAGGACCCGAGTTCGATCTCTGGTACCCCCCCCAAAAAACAAAAAACATGCGAAACTAGACTGGAAACAACCGAAGCCTGACAGGAAGCTGAACATGTGAAAAGAAACTCAGTTCTGCACTCACTTCTAGTACACAAGTAGATGAGACTCAGACAGGCACCAAAAGTGAAAAAGAGGTAATACATTCACCTGGATGGAGATTCTACTGATGTTTATATTCTTATTTAAACATAGTATGAAAAATTGCTATTTCAAGAATACTCTGCTTTTTTAGACCTCATCACTCTAGAAAGAAGCTGTTAACAGGGCTGGGGATTTAGCTCAGTGGTTTTAGCACCTGCTTGAAAGTACAAGGTCCCAAGTTTGATCCCCGTACCGGAAAAAAAAAAAAAAAAAAAAGGTGTTAACAGAAAAAAACAAGGGAAGCAGCTTTGAAAAGCAGCCTGTTTCCCCCATATTTCACAAAGACCCCACACTCAGGAGGTCAAACAGAGGCCTATGCTTAGAGACCACTCTCAATGGCAGAGGCAGCCCAAAGTGGCTCCTTCCCAGTAGGAGAGGGAGCTGAGCAGCCAGGAAATTTCCTCCTGGGACCTCCACATACTCTTCCCTTCTGCTCCTCCCATTAGGAAAACGCCCCTGGTCTGCAAGTTTAACTCAGACTAGTTACCAAACACCCAGAGTCAGTTTAAGATTCTCACCCCTGCTGTTTTTTTTTCTCTGATGTCACTTATCACTCAAAATGTATGGGGCTGGCTGACAACCAAACTTCCCAACGCTAACTAACTGGGTGTCTCCTAATTCAATTCTGACACCACCCAGACTTACAGTCTCAACTTCAGTGCTCAGTCCCACCCCACAATACCCACCCACTACAGATGCCACAACGCCTGTGTTTGCTCTGTCTGCTCACCAGTCCCTGTCCTGGAGTTACGGAGGGGTGGAAACCTCAGTTACCCCATTATCATAAATTCAGATAGTCTGTAAAGGGCTATGATAAACAATCAAAGTCATTGGTATTGCTAGGAAATCCCTAGAGATTTAAAGTATCTGTGTCACAAACAGGAACAACAAAGTTTAATTTTAAAAAAAGACACTACCAACCCAACTCTCAAATACACACTATTTTCCAGGAGGAAGAAGCCACAGGTGTCCTCTGAGACTGCCCCTCTCAATTTTCCTCGGTTGGCACAAATTGCACTCTTGACTAGACCAACTCGGTGGATACAAAAGTAAACAGATAAAAGACACTGATTTTACTTACTTGAGTGCTACAATCCTGGTAAATAGATGACCAAAGTACTCCAAACCCCTAATTCTGTCTGCTCTTGAGAAACACTGTACTGCAAACAGACAGCCTTCTCCTAACAGGTAAATTATGCCCTCCTTTTTAATTTTTTTGGTACCTGGGATCGAACTCCGGACCTTGCGCTTGCGAGGCAGGCGGCAGCACCACTGAGCTAAACCCCAGGCCCATGCCCTCCATCTTTATCCACTGACAAGGCAGACACACATTTTGCACATTCTCACTTTTTGCCCAGCTGAACTCATCAGCAGAAAGGAAACACACATGTCAAGGTACCACACAAACCCTCTGTTGTCGTCACCCTAAGTGCAGGCCAAGTCCACAACCTCGGGGAAAACGTTCTGTGGATAAGGATCTGACTTTGGCTCCCTCCTCAGCACCCTCTCCGTTTCTTTCTACTCTTCCTCACTTCTCTGATGGAATACAAAGCCTTTTACTAATCCCTGAGATGTTTGCAGACCTTACAAATTGTGTTTCCTGGACAAGGGATTTAGCTCAGTGGTTCCGCCGCCTACCTAGCAAGCGCAAGGTCCCAAGTTGGATCCCCGGTACCAAAGAAAACAACAACAACAAAAAAACGATGACAAATTGTGTTTCCCCTTACTGCAATCCTCCTTTCAAATACAGTCGCAAGCTTTTGGTTTTTTAAAATAATGTTTAGAAACAGTTCGCCAAACAATAATAATTACCACGTCAAACTGAGCAGCACATCTCCCCTTCCAATCAAACCCCCAGTCACAGATACACAGGGTTCCTTCCTCTTTTCCAGTGTGTTTTACAATATGGAGAAGCGTCTGTAAATCAGGATTTTATTGCCATTTGTAAAAACCACTGTCAATGGACATCGCGGAAATGGGCTGATGTTTCTCTTGAACCTCAAACACTCAGGAAAAATGAGGCGCAGCGAGGAGACCCCACGAGCCAGGCCCCTTCCGCGCGAACCACACAGGAGGCTCCAGACCCGGCGCAGGGAGCCGCACAGAACCGGCAGGACCCGGGTCCCAGCTGGTGGCCCAGCCCAGCCCGCGGCCGGAGGGGACCCAGGGGGCAGAGCCCGGAGCTGAGCGGGAGGCCGGGGTCGTCCCGCCGCTTCCAGCCTGTGCTAAACCCCCCGCTCCACACTCACCATGTCTAGGTTCCGGGGTGTCCTAGTGTGCTCCCCAGGGGTCTTGAAGCCCTCAGAGTTTACAGAGGGACCTGGACTGAGCCACCCTGTCCTTCCAATCTCAATCCCTAATCCAAAATGTGGCGGCGCCTGAAAAAGATCCGCGTGGTCCCCAGGGACCCTCTAAAGACCTGCGCTCCTCATTGGACAGCTCACATCGCTGGGAAACTGCATCTGAATGGCTAGTGCTGCAGGACACGCCCTCAGAGCCCTGCGTGACTGGGAGAAGCATCTGCTACCTGCCTGAGCGGATTCAAAAGTTATTCCCAACCACACCCTTTTCCAGCCCAGACTTGCTGTCCTGTGTAGTGCAACTGGCTCAGTCTGAAAATAATTCTGTTTTTTAAATTTTCTTTTTTTTTTTGGTATCGCGAATCGAACTCGGGTCCTTGTCATTGCACAGCAGGCGACGAAACCACCGAGCTAAATCCCCAGCCCTAAAATTTCACTTTTATACTTAGGAATCAAATCTAACAGGAAGTGAAAGCTCCATACATTCAAAAAGGTACTCTGAGAAAAAGAGAAGAGGAGATAAGAAAATGGAAAGCTATTCTTGTACCGGCAGAATCAATATACTGAAAATGGCCGTACTTCCAAAACTGTATATGTGCTGCCGAAGCTAGCACGACTTCCAAAACTGTTATATAGATTTAATGCAATCCCAATCAAAATACCAACTGCAGGGCCAGGGATTTAGCTCAGTGGCTCCGCTCCTGTCTCCCAAGTGCAAGGTCCTGAGTTCGATCCCAGGTACCAAAAAACCCAAAAACAAAAACAAAAACACACTGTGATTCCATCTCACTCCAATGGCTATCATCAAGAAATCAACCAATAACAAATGTTAGCAAGGCTGTAGGGGGAAAAGGAACCCTTCTACATTGCTGGTGGGAGTGTAAACTGATACAACCACTGTGAAGTTCAGTATAGGGATTCCTCAAAAAACTAGAACTAGAGGTTTCATTTGACCCAGCTATTCTCCTTCTCGGTATTTTTCCGAAAAAGTTAAAAGCATCATGCCAGTGATATATGCATACCTATGTTTATAGCAGCACAATTTAGATGGGTTCTATTTATTTATTTAAGTCTTTTGGTACCAAAGATTGAACTCGGGTCCTTGCACTTGCACAGCAGGCGGCGAGACCACTGAGCTAAATCCCCTGCCCTAGCAGCACAATTTATAATAGCTAAATCTTGGAAACAGTCCAGATTGTTTATCCCTGTCAAAACAATTTTTTGTGGGGCTGGGGATTTAGCTCAGTGGTTCCACTGCCTGCCTCCCAAGTGCAGAGACCTGAGTTTGATCTCCGGTGCCAAAACAAAACAAAACAATTTTTTGTGTTCTGTACTGTCTTTTGTTAGGTTTTAAATGTTTAAACAATTGTTAAGACGTTCATATTAGATAACCTCCTTGTGTCTTACAACTCTGGTTACATAAATTATTATTGCATATGAGTTGCTTAATTTTCAAAGTGTAATAGTCCTGCCGTAGTTCAGTCAGACATGATTGTCGTCTCCACATGCTGTAAAAGTAACTAAATTGTTTCGCTAAACTATTACCTTGAGAATTGGTTACAGTATATAACTGCCAAAAGCCATGCTCCTCTTGGTCAAAAAGACAGTCTTGCTCAAAAAATATGTTTGGGCTGGGGATGAACTCAGTGGTGCCACCGCCTGCCTTGCAAGTGCAAGGTCCCGAGTTCGATCCCCAGTACCCCCTCCTCCCCCAAAATATATATATGTTCTTAGTTGGTAAAATAGACATCAATTTTTGCACACTGTATTAAAAATTTTTACATTTCTGTATATGTATCTAAGAAATCCTAAAGGTGGGATTAAACTGTATCTCTTAGTCTTGGCATTAATAAATTGTGTGCTTCCCCCCAATGGTAATTCACATTGGTTTACAAGAGAAGGGCACTCTTGAGTATTTGCTTGATATACTTTTGTGGCAGAACTAAGCTTGCTTCACAGAAATGTTACCAGTTAGCTCCTTCTAAAAGTGGCTCTCCAAATAAATGTTACCAGGTTTTGTGGTGCTTGTGTTTCCTTCTGGAACTGGATTCCAGGTTCTCCTTGTCTTGAACAAAGAAATGAACAAAACAAGCAAAAAGCAGAGGCAAAGTTTATTTGAAAAAGGAAAAGTGAAGAGTAAGGGAGAAATTGGCTCTGCAGAGTGAGCGTGGGCCCAGTAAAATAGGTAAAAGCAAGATGAAAGTTCACCCCGGAGGACACAGGGGAGGCTATTGTGAGGACAGCCATGATAATGAGCTCTTCTTGGCATCTGTGCCCTTTTATGGCATCTACATCTCAAGGAAACCCGAGAGAATTTCTACATACAGGTCCTGAGAGGTGGTGCTGGGATCTCCTACCCCAGGCTGATGTGAGTTCTAGGCCATCCTATTGAAAACCTGCTCGAATTCTCATGAGAAGTCCACATGCAGGGCTTTGGAAACTGTTCTGTGCCTGTGTTCCAGGGTCTTGTAATTAACAGGTCACGCCTACTTCCCCAGTCAGCTTTGCCACCCCCTAATCTCCTGTCTCAGAAATGTTGGTTTTCTTTAATTAACTTGGTCACTATGTTTCTTAGTTCAAGTCCACTGTACAGACTACATATGCTTTGTTCTTACTGAGTCTTTTTACATCTGCTTTGTGAGCTTTGTAACTGTTTGTCAAAGTTCTACTGTTTTAGTGTGCTGACTACAAAACAGACAGGATTAGACTTAACAATGGACTCTAGATAAACTCAGCCTAAGAGCTACTTTATCTAAATCTCTGATATTGCTCAAATTT